GGCCCATGCATGGGATCTCCAAGTATTAGAAATATCTGTAGCTCAAACACAAAGAAATGATAAATGTTTGAAGTGATGGATAAGCCAATTACCCCCAAACTGATCATTACACATTTGTACACATGTATTGAGATGTCACGCCGTGACCCACAAATACGTACAATTATTATGTCAAGTAAAAATATATTTTAAAAGAGAAAAAACTGCGTATAGAATAGTTACAGAAATACCACAGATTAGCAAAGGAACTGAGGGCCCTTTAATCACTATAGCCGTATGTTAATGTATGGAATTGAAGCCAACAAACTTTAATTTACCCCAAAGTGGGTGTTAACTGACTCTATCATTTATTTCTGAAACATTAGTACCCTATATCAATGAGAGTACACAGCAGTAAATTGAGCAAATGACCCCTCCAGTCCTACCTAGACAGGCCTAAGAGCTGACAGCATTATATCATACCTGGGTAAACTGGATCTTGAGGGACAGCAGAATTCTCATCTGGGGCCACATTGACCTTCAAATTGGCATGTACTTGAGCCTAGAAAAATGAAATTCAGAGTTCACTAGTTGTTAGATCGTGTAGGTTTGATACCCAGTTTAGGAAAAGCCAAGCCCTGTTCCTCAATGGACATGTAAAGTTGAATCTTCTCTAGGTCATGGCTATAGAATCCGCTTTCATAAGAACTGAAATGGAGTCAGTGAGAGGGGGAAGGTTGAATGGACATGGTGCAGGGTGAGATGAAGGACCAAGATCATTTAGAACCTGCCCTTTTTCTTCACCTTCTTACTTCATCTCCTTTTTTTAACCTCCTATTTCCAGATCTCACATTGACCCTGGAAAGGTGAAGAGAAGGAGACCCACAGGATCTTAGCAAAATATTTTGAGAAAACAGTACACAGTGTTAGGATGAACTTGGACGCTTTCTCTCAGTTTCCAATTCTATCCTGAAATTGGCCAAAGGTGAGATTCTAGCAGGAGGTACAAAAATAAATAAATAAGTAAAAGGAGGCTTGTATGTTTCTATTCATTGACTCCACAGATAAAGCCAGGGTCATGGAGTCCTTCGCATCTGAAAATCCAGTTATAACCTAAAAATAGCATCAAAGAGAAAAGAACCTCCCAAAGCAAAAGAGAGCACCCCACCAGATCCTGCTTGTTTTCTAGAGAAGGAACTTTTTAAAAAATTTTTTTAGTTTTTTAGATAGACACAAGATCTTTATTTTGTTTTTTTGTTTTTGTTTATTTGCTGAGAATCAAACCCAGTGCCTCACTGCATGCTAGGCGAGCACGCTACCACTTGAGCCACATCCCCAGCCCCTAGGGAAGAACTTTTGCTGGGACATCCATGAGCATAGTTACCTGTTGACAGACTTGTTTCCAGTTGAGCCGAGCAATAAAGACTATAAAACACACAGCTTGAGCGACAGTACAGATGATGATCCCTGCCCACAGACCTGGATGTGGAAATATTTAACAGAGGTAGTTAGCTCAGTGGAAAATGGCCACCCCTGAGAGGATGTATGCATCTCCTGTTACTTCTGCAGACCATGCTGGGAATCTGCTTCCATGGCTGAGATGGGGTCCATAGTGGACCGTAGGGCTCTACTTGCTCTATTCTTGGGTTTCCAGAAGGCCAGCACCCCCTGAGACCATATTCTGTGATTGTCACAGCAAAGGTTCAGAGGTTATCGCTGGCCATTTTTATTATAATGATTGGATATTAATAATAGTGCCAGTGACAAGAAAATTAAATTTCCCAGGACAAAACTCCTTCTGCTCTATGTTCCTCAAAAGAGATGAACATTTAAAAAAAAAAAAGCAGAAATCATCATGGTCAATAAATGAATTAAAATATTTCATTTTTAATTTGGCTGCTTCTAGTAGAAGCTTTTGATTTTGGATATTAGTTAGTTTGCATGTTGGTCACCTGGAGAGATGTATTAAAAAGGAAAAAAAAATGTAAGAAAAACCTAAGAATTATTTGTTCATAGTATTAGTCCTGGAAATTCTTGTGCTCCATCAAATGAATCCGAGGAAGGATCAACGGCAACAGAAACAAGACTATTGGGATTTCTTGCTCCAGCAGAAGGGAGACACAGCATTAGAGACTGTCGAGCTAGCTCTTCAAACAAAGGGAGCTAAGTTTTCATTCCTGTGCAAGGATGGCAAGGGTAGGCTAGAGTCTAGGAATTTTAATTGGCTTTGGGCATATTTTCTAAGGTATTTTGTGTGTGTGTGTGTGTGTGGGGGGGGGTCCTTCAACCTTGAGTGAGGGACCTTCAGTCTGGAGCAAATGTTACATCTTTCCCTAAATAATCACTTCTGCCTTGTGATAAGGATGAATTGCTGGAACTGTGGAGAAAACACATGCAGATGGAGAAAAACATAAATCATGAAAGTAACAAGTTCAGGGTCCTTGAAATTTGCTATTTCAATGATGCCTCAACAGTTTTGTTGTTTGTTCTTGGAGAGTCATGGCAAAGGTATCCTGACTTTAGTGATGAATCTGGTTTTTGGAGACCTATAAGACGGTTTGAGAGTGAGTGGGGAGGGAAAGAGACATACTGGGCTCCCTGGAATTCATTTGCTCCTGTGGGGCTCTGATTATCTCATCCCCTCCCCTCTCAAAGTTTTTACCACTTAACCTTAGGGATGCTACTTTCTATGGGGGATCCCTGACTATACCTCAGTATTCAGGCTTCTGAAAGGGAAAGAAAGCTTTTTATTGGGGGGGGGGGGCATGCTGGGGATTGAGTCCAGAGCCCTGTGCATGCTAAACATATGTTCTACCATTAAGTTACACCCCCAGCTGAGAAACCATTTTAGAAATCAATGTTTGTATTCAAAAAGGTGCTTGTAACACCTGGATCCCATTTTACATTGGTGTTAAAACATTTTAACAGTTAAAAAATAAAATGATTTTCATAGCAAAATTCACCACACATTAAGAATTAATGATATTCTCTACCCCAGAGTTTCCTACTTGACCTCTACAGATTTTTCTGGAAGCTTGCAGGGGAGGGTTATGCACCCAGAGATGATTAGAAACAAAGAGGAGAAGTTGAGTGGAAATGAATGATAGAGAAAGCTTGTTAGATCTCTCAAAGTATTATACAGATTCTGCCTAATGAACCTACACAGGGCCAGGCACAGTAGCACACATCTGCAATTCTAGCTGCTCAGGAGGCTGAGGCAGGAGGATGGCCAGTCTGAGACCAGACTGAGCAACTTAGCAATATGCAGTCTCAAAATAAACATTTTTGTAAAGAGGGAATGGGTTGTAGCTCAGAGGTAGAACACTCCTGGGTTCAATCTCTGGTATCAAATAAATGAATGAATAAATAAATTTAAAACCCTATATAGGGCATTGAGGAGATGCAAATAATGAGAGGCTTTGTCAATAATGAACTAATGATAGAATCAAAAGCTCTAAGGCAGTCCATGGGAGGATGAAGGTACAGACAGACAATTGCCAGACTGGACATAAAAATAGAACTCTGACCCACATGCAGCAACCAGCCCAGGAAACCAACCTTTTATCCACAATAAGCAACCCAGGAAGGCAGCGTGCTAGAAACCAGACTTGCTGGAAGCCACATTGGCATCTCTAGTGATAAATCAGAAAGCCAAACCATAACTTCTACAACAATCAATGCCAAATGGCCAGGCTTGGCTCATAACTGACAGCTTCCCTAATTTGGGTCCCCACTTCCACCTTCAGACAAATACATACCCCGAGCCATTCATGTAGTGGCCCCACGTCTAGTCAGCCACCTCTAGCTCCCCCAGGCCAAGAGCCTCCAATCAGGGCCACCTGAGCCATCTTCTTACCCGCTATAAATAAAGCTCTCCCACTACCAGGAGCTGACTTCCCCGAGTGGCAGGTTCAGAACACAAAGTCTTTACTTTTCTCCTTTGCCTGTTCTCGGTTTATTTCCACAGCTGTTCATATCCATGTAAGGATTAAGGGGGCTAGACTGGGTTCCCAGGTTCGGGTGGGGAGACTCCATGCAAGGTTTACAGCTCCTCTACTCCTCTTCACCAATCACATTCCCATCACATTTGTCAGGAGTGGCCAGTCGCTCTTCATTCACAATAGTGAAGTTAGTGACCACCTACTATTCCTGTAATAGATTAGTAAAAGCAAGTCCCTCCTTCCTCTTCCAAATCCAGAGTTCCTAGTACACAGAAATTACAAGTTCACCTTATCTTTAACAGAGAATAACTAGCTAGCTCCAGTCATAATTTGAAAATTATGAACTTGATTTCTAGTAATTTCACAATACATATTACAAGATTTCTGTTTGACTCAACTAGGAACCCCACACAGGATTTTGGTTTTGTTTTGGTTTGGGGGAGGGGAGGGTACCAGGGATTGAACCCACTTAACCACTGAGCCACATCCCCAGCCTTTTTTTTTTTTTTAATGAGATAGGGTTTGCTAAATTGCTGAGGCTGCCTTTGAACTCACAATCCTCCTGCCTCAGCCTCCCTCACCACTGAGATGACAGGTGTGCACCACTGCACCCAGCCAAACAGGATAATTATTAGAATATCCTGGGCAGGACGTAGGAATTTGCATATTAGAAAGACCTCCAAGGGAATTCTGAGGCTGTTACAATGTGTTAGGTTGCTCAGAAGAATCTGTAGCATTTTGATATTCATCTGGGCATTTTGTACAGTTATACTGCGCACCCTACTGGGAGCAATATGACATTCTGAACCAATTCATGCTATACTTCCATCTAAATGGTAGGTGGGAAGAATTGACTACAGTCCTTTCACAATGTCCCCTTTATAAATTCTCAAATCCCTCTACTTTGCACACAGTAGGTATGTTTTTACTAAATGAATGAAGTGGGACAAGTACAGCCCTTAGGATATAGAGGGATCTATATTTTAAAGTAAATTCCTCCTCTTCCTGAAAAGTTGAACTGAAGAGAGAGTAGAATGACGGTTACCAGAGGCTGGGGTGGCGGGGGGGGGGGGGGGGATGGGGTGGGAGAGTATGGGGAATTGTTGGTCAAAGGGTACAAGGTTTCTTGGGCCAAAGTGTGTGGCTCTGTGGTAAAGTGTTTGCCTAGTATGCATGAAGCCCTGGATTTGATTCCAAGAAACACAAAAGGACACAATGTTGTAGACTGACAAGAAGAATGAGTTTTGAGATCTACTGCACAGCAGGATGACTATAGTCAATCATACCATACTGCATATGAGTGAATTTCAGATGTCTCACCATGAAAAATAAGCAAGATGACAGGTATGTTAATTACTTTGATCTAAGCATTCCACATTGTATGCACATGAAAATACCACATTGTGCCCCACATATGTATACAATTGTGATTCGTTTTTAAAATTATAATTAGTGCATGCATAGTAATTGTACAAAATAATGGGTTTATTTGTAGCATTTTCATACATATATGTATGCTTTTTCAATTAAAATAATTTTTATAAAATGATACAATATAAAAAGAATATAAGTTATCTTTAGTATTTTATACTTATTGAATGTTTCAATGATAATATTTTAGATAGATAGTGTTAAATAAAATATCAGTAAAAAAAAAATAGGTTCTTCTGTTTAATTTCCATTAACATTTTCATCAGTGAAGTCAAAGCCTGAATAATGCCAGAAACTCAGCTAAATAATTTTCTGCACCAATGGGTTCTGAAAATTCTGTCCTTTGACCATCTTCTGTATTTTTAATTAAAACATCATTGAACTTGAGAAAAATGTGCAACACAATGAAGCACATTGGACTGGAAGTTCTCTGTGGGTATCAGATGACTTCTCACCACCTCTGAGCCCGCCAAATACTAATAGATTAAAACAATCCATGCTTAAGTCAGTTACCACTTCACCCCAAAGACAGTGTTCAGGTTTTAATATCATCATGTATTCACTGCCAATACATTCCCAATTATTATTTTAGAAACCAAAGCTAGGCAGTCATATATTTCCCTACTTTAAAAAAAAAAATAGCTCTGGTAATTTCAGATCATGTGGATTCAGTTCTTTCCTCCAAATTCAGTAAGAGGATGTTATGGTTTAGATAGGAGGTATCCCCCAAAAGCTCATGTGTGAGACAAAACAAGAACTTTTAGAGGTGAACTGATTGGGTTACAAAAGCCTTAGCCTTATCAATGCATTAATCCACTTGAATGGATTAACTGGGTGGTAACTGTAGGCATGTAGGGAGTGGCTAGAGGAGGTGGATCACTGGGTGTGTGCCTTTGGGGTTTATATTTTGCCCTTGTTAAGTGGAGTTTTGTCTCTGTTTCCTGATATCATGCCCTGAACTGCTTCCCTCTACCACACCATTCTATCATGATGTTCTACCTCACCTGTGGCTCAGAGCAATGGAGCTGGCCGTCTATACACGGAGACCTCTGAAACTGAAAAGCCCCCAAATAAGCTTTTCCTCCTTTAATTGTTCTTGTCAGGTCTTTTGGTCATAGTGGGAAAAAAAAAAAAAAAGACTAAAAAAAGGGACAAAGAGATGTCTTGCCCCACCTTCCTTCTGCACTGTCCACATTGATCCCCCCTCCCATACCCTATGGGAATACCCACAAGATATGGATAAGATATACCAAAGATTATGGCAGGTGGGAGGCAGAGGCTACAGAAGAAGGTAGGATGATAAGGAGAGCGCTGGCCAGTTGCCATGCCCCTTGGTGAGCACAGAAGGGTGCTATTCTATGTCCTACTGGGTCCAGGTGCCATGTTGCTGACCGGCCACTTTCCCACTTCACCCCAATCTCTCCAGGATGGCCACAGGAGGATGACCTTCCTATTGCAGTTTCACTGTCAGGGTCTTGCCGACGCAAGGGGCTATCACTAAAAGAACAGAACAGATCTACAAAAGGGACGTTTCCAAATGCTTCTTCGGTAGTCCTTGCTGTCACTCCTCTGAAGAAGTGAAAACTGGACAGGTAAATCAGGGAGAGGAGTAGAAAGGACATTTTGTTGTGCTGGGTATCGCAATGGGGACCATCACCTGCATGGGCAAGAGGGGCATGACCAGGCAGCCTTGGGCTCCTGGCTGAGGCTGGGGCTGGGGCTGGAGCTGGAGGCTACTGTGTGTCCAGCCCTTGCTTTCTCTAACCAAGGGTAGAACTGAAGTGGAAAACTCCAGAATTCCAGAGTCAAGTTTCAGTGTTCTTTGAGGGTCATTTCCTGGTCGGTAACTGCTCTGCCTGCCCAGATCTGAAGGATTAAAACAAACCATACTTAAATCAGTTATACTTCACCCAAAGACAACCTTCAAGTTTTGATATAATCATTTATTGACTACCAGTATATTCCCAATCATTATTTTTTAAATAAAGCTTACCAATCACTCCAAGCTTGGCCGCAAACATCAGTGCGATCCCAATGGGTAGACCAATCACGTAATACCCAATGGCGTTAACAATGGCTCCCACCTTCTGACTTCCAGTTCCCCGCAGAATGCCACCACTCGTACACTGTGGGCAGGTAACACCTCATCAGTGTGAACACTACTGGTGCTTTTGAAAGACTCCCCACCTCCCAAGCATGGACCAGATATTTCATGCCGCTCAGAATTAAAAATCCCTGAACATGTGGCAATATCCTGCAGAAGTAACCATGGCAATAGTACTTCCTACCCTAACTCCTCTTCTCAGTTGAAATTTACCATCATCAACAAATGGGACTTACTCAAACTAAAAAGTTTTTTCTCAGCAAGAGAAACAATAAGAGAGGTAAATAGGGAGCCTACATCCTGGGAACAAATCTTTACTCCTCACACTTCAGATAGAGCCCTAATATCCAGAGTATACAAAGAACTCAAAAAATTAAACAATAAGATAACAAATAACCCAATCAACAAATGGGCCAAGGACCTGAACAGACACTTCACAGAGGAGGACATACAATCAATCAACAAGTACATGAAAAAATGCTCACCATCTCTAGCAGTCAGAGAAATGCAAATCAAAACCACCCTAAGATACCATCTCACTCCAGTAAGATTGGCAGCCATTCTGAAGTCAAACAACAACAAGTGCTGGTGAGGATGTGGGGAAAAGGGTACACTTGTACATTGCTGGTGGGGCTGCAAATTGGTGCAGCCAATTTGGAAAGCAGTATGGAGATTCCTGGGAAAGCTGGGAATGGAACCACCATTTGACCCAGCTATTGCCCTTCTCGGACTATTCCCTGAAGACCTTAAAAGAGCGTACTATAGGGATACTGCTACATCGATGTTCATAGCAGCACAATTCACAATAGCTAGACTGTGGAACCAACTTAGATGTCCTTCAATAGATGAATGGATAAAAAAAAAAATGTGGCATTTATACACAATGGAGTATTACTCAGCACTAAAAAATGACAAAATCTTGGAATTTGCAGGGAAATGGATGGCATTAGAGCAGATTATGCTAAGTGAAGCTAGTCAATCCCTAAAAAACAAATGCCAAATGTCTTCTTTGATATAAGGAGAGCAACTAAAAACAGAGCAGGGAGGAAGAGCATGAGAAGAAGATTAATATTAAACTGGGACGAGAGGTGGGAGGGAAAGGGAGAGAGAAGGGAAATTGCATGGAAATGGAAGGAGACCCTCATTGTTATACAAAATTACATATAAGAGGATGTGAGGGGAAAGGGAAAAAAAATCAAGGGAGAGAAATTAATTACAGTAGACGGGGTAGAGAGAGAAGATGCAAGGGGAGGGGAGGGGGGATAGTAGAGGATAGGAAAGGTAGCAGAATACAACAGACACTAGTATGGCAGTATGTAAAAACGTGGATGTGTAACCGATGTGATTCTGCAATCTGTATACAGGGTAAAAATGGTAGTTCATAACCCACTTGAATCAAATGTATGAAATATGATATGTCAAGAGCTTTGTAATGTTTTGAACAACCAATAAAAAAAAAAGAAAAGAAAAAAAAAACCCTTCAAAAAAAATTTACCATCAGAAGAAGAAACATAATGTAGATCATGAAAGTTCTTAAGGGCATAACACTCACAGCAAGTCCTTCAAAGAGGTGGGACACAGCATAAATTGGGACCACCTGAGCCACCAGAGCAACGATGTCTCTGTTCAGAAAATAAAGCACATGGTGATTAGTGGAACACAAATATGTGGGAAAGGAGAACTATGCAGTTCCCAGGTGGTGGGACTTTGCTCCTGTCTCAGTTCAGGAGCACAGTTCAGCCTTTGTCTTGCAGACATGGCCCATGCGTCCTAGCCAATAGCTTCTATGCAGGGACAATGATACAGGTGCTTGGCCCAAAGAAGAAACGAACTGCATGTTGTAGGACATGATTTTTTTTCTCCCCAATGCTAGAGATCCAACTCAGGATCTTGCACATGCTAGGCAAATGTTTTACCACTAAGCTATACGCCTAGCTCTATCTTATAACTTTTAGGGGAAAAAAATATACATATATGTATATCATTGCTAAATAAAAGTCCTTTGAAAGCAGGCAAATGTAATTGAATGTGGTTGACCAAATGGACCACATAAACCAATTCAATGACTTGGTACTCCACTGCCTGCAAAAACTGAAGCTTACATTTTACTGTCATCCTTCTAAAATAATTCCTTAGACCAGGCACTATGGCGCACCCCTGTGTTCCCAGCTACTCAGGAGGCTGAGGCAGGAGGATCCTAAGTTCAAAGCCAGCCTGGGCAACTCAGCAAAACCCTAATGCAAAAAAAGAAAAAGAAAAGAAAAGAAAGAAAGAAAGAAAGAAAGAAAGAGCTCGGTATGTTGGTGCACAACCGTAATCCTTGTGACTTGGTGGGTTCTGAGGCAGGAGGATTACAAGTTCGAGGCCAGCTTCAGCAATAGAGTGAGGCTCTAAGCAACTTAGCAAGATCTTGTCTCAAAATTAAAAGTAAAAAGGGCTAGGGATGTAGCTCAGTAGTAAAGCCCCATCCCTGAATTTTGGTCACCCAACACCAAAATAAATTTTAAAAGTAAATAAATAAAATTTAAAAATTTAAAAGTGTGTGCTGAGGATGTGTCTCAGAGGCAGAACACTTCTGGGTTCAATCCCACAGTGGATAAAGCATTGCAGAGTTAAGAGTTAAGGTGCTCTCTATGGGAGCTGAAGGTATAGTTCAGTGGTACAGCATCTACCCAGCATGTATGAGGCTATGAGTTTGATCCCAAGTATCACCAAAAAATGAACAAAAAAGTGCTTTCTATGGAACCAAGGTTAGTAAGTTTTACAACCATAGACCTACAAGTGGGCTCTAATTTCTAATGCTAGACTAGATGATTCCCCCGCCCTCAGGGAAGGAGGAGTCATTTGGGATTTAACCCAAGTGCTCTTTACCACTCAGTTACACCCCTTTTTATTTTATTTTATTTATTTATTTTTGAGACATTGTCTCAGCTAAGTTGCTGAGACTGGTCCCAAACTTGTGATCCTCCTGAGTCACTGGAATGACAGACATGTGCCACCGTGCCCCCTAGAGAGACAGATTTAAAAGCCCACATGTGATAGGAAGCAAGAGAAATTCTATCACTGACCTAGGGAGGCAAGAAATTCATCATACCCTTCAGTGGACTGGTCACAAATAAGCCCATATTATTGCACGACAATAAATATTTGTTAAATGAATGAATAAACGAACAAGATGATCACTTCCTCAGAAAGGACAGGAACATAGTTCATTTACTAAAATTTAATGTCTGAATAGGGAAAATTTGCAAATGATTAAAGAAATCAAACAACAGGAAAAGGAGGGTGAGAAGCCTTATGGCCACAGTCTTCCGGTCCACCCCATTACTACCCTGTCCTCCCAGGTAACAATTTTTTCTACTTTCTGTATTTGTCCAGTTTTAATGAAAATATAAGCAAATACAAATGGATATTCTTGATTTCTGTACACTATCACTTCACAAAAAGGCATTCTGTACATGATCTGCATCTTGCCGTTTCCACCTATGATCTTCACCTTTCCTATTCTACCAAAATATATTATTTCCAATGTGTTGTTCAATTCTTGCCTACTAATACTTTATTTTGGATTTTTATTTCTTTTTCTTTTGGGTGCTGGGGATTGAATCCAGGGTGCTGTGCAGCCTAAGCTTGCATGCTGGGCACACCCAAGGAGCACACCCCTGGCTCTTTATTTTGGAGTTTTAAATCCATATTAATAAGTGAGAATGGTTTGATTTTCTTTTTTTTTTTAATGTGCAAATTTTGTAGATTCTGGAGCCACTGTTATGTTTGTTTCATAAACAGAATGCTGAAATTCCATTTTTCTGTGCTGAGGAATAGTTTAAACATGACTGGAATTTTATCTACATTGTAGAGATTGGATAAAATTCTCCTTTGGGACCCTCTGGAACTACTGCTTTTTTGGCATTTTGAGTTACTGTCTCTAATTTCTCATAAGGAAATCACTATGTTTAGACTTTCAATCCCTTTTTTGGGTAATTTTTTAATGTATATATTTTTCTAGTTGTTGATGGACCTTTAATTTATTTTATATGTGGTGCTGAAAATCGAACCCAGTGCCTCACACATGCTAGGCAAGTGCTCTACACTGAGCCACAACCCCTACTCTTCTTGAGTAAATTTTGATCAATTATTTTCTTAGAGAATTGTCTATTTCTTCCAGTTCTTAAAAATTCTCTTGCAAAAATAAAAACGTACAAACTGATTTCTCTCATGGATTTTTTTTTTTTTAAAGATGATGATTTGCAGTAATTCACTCCTTTCTTACTACTTTGTGTAGAGGGACTTTCTCCTTCTCTCCCCTGAGAGTAAACAGGCCCTGCTTCATTTATATCATGGATTTTGCTCATTTCAGTTGCTTCTTGGCTCCTTAGTGACAGCAAAACATTCTGAGAAACACTATTGTTAGCTGATGTCGCCATTGTGCGAACATCTCAGAATGAACAAACTTACACAAACCTGATGGTGTACCCTACTACACACCTTGGTTAAATAGTGTGTGTGTGTGTGTGTGTGTGTGTGTATGCACGCACGTGCAGTATAGCCTATTATTCCTATGGCTCCTAGGGCCATGATAAAGACAACAGCATGAGGTTAAGTCAAACGCAAGATAAAAGAATGCAATCAAGAGAAGCAGGTCCTAGGTGGTGCATGGGGCTCTGCAGACATAATACTGCTTCATGGGAAACCTTTATAAGGAGGAGTGCACTCTAAAATAATGATTAAAAGTGCAGTGCGATAAATACATAAACCAATAATATAAAGTCAGTTATTATAATTATCAAGTATTATGTAATATAGATCAAGTATTATGTAATATATACATGTTCATGTTATACTTTTATACAAGCGGCAGAGCATCACCACAAACATGTGAGTGGTGACAGCTGTGGCATCAAGAGGCCACAGAACAGGAATTTTCAGCTCTTTTATAATCTGACAGGTCATATATTCAGTCCATCATTGACCAAAATGTCATCATGTTGCACATGATGTATTTTGATATTTGCGTTTCCTATGTCTCCTAATCTCAAAGATACAGTTTTTAAGTCTTTTTTTTTTCATCCTTTTTCCTGCTCTGTGTGGTTTTCAGAAGTGGACAGAATGCAATCTCCCACATTCCCAATGGAACCATCAATGTATCCTGAATTTCCAATAAAGTTAATTCTGATTTCCTTTGAGAAAAATGAGAACTATTTATGATTGCCTTCCCTACTCATCCCAAAATGGAAAATCTGTAATACAATGGCAGAGGATGAAAAAAAAACTATCTGAATATAGAAGATAAATATCTGAAGAGTAAACTGAAAGTTTATTCTGCCCACTCCAATAGCTTTTTGAAACCATGAAGCAAAAGCCAATTTGCCATTTGGAATTGCTAACAAGGGATCCCAAATAAGAAGTATTCCCATGGTATTTCTGTATAGTTAGAATGTACCAGCTAGCCTCATCAATGAAGAAGAAAAGAAAAATTTGCAAAGCAGAAGGGTATTTATCACACTCCAGAATTCTTCAGCAATCAATCTAATACTGTGATTCCTTTTATCCTCAGCCCTATTTTGTATTTTATTTAGAGACAAGGTCTTACTGAGTTGCTCAGTGCCTTGCCGTTGCTGAGGCTGGCTTTGAACTCATGAACCTCCTGCCACACCCGGCCAATACTTCTGAGACAGCTTATGAGTGAAATTTTGACTTCCATCTGATTTGGGAAAAATATTATGCATACTCTATAAACCAGGCAGTTTGGCAGATATAAAATGATTCGTGTCATTGGAGCCAAGATAATTGTTGAGTAGCCCTAATCAGAAATATTACACCAGAATTGTTCCAGATTTTTTTCCAGATTTTAAAATATTTGCATATAAATAATGAGGCATCTTGGTATGGGACTTAAATTTAAACACAAAATTCATTGATGTTTCATAGATACCTCATACACATAGGCTGAAGGTAATTTTTTATTTTTTTATTTTGTACCCTTAACCACTAAGCTACATTCTCAGTTCTTTTTATTTTTTTATTTTGGGACAGGGTCTCACTAAGTTGCTTAGGGCCTTACAAATTTGCTGAGGCTGGCCTTGAATTTGTGATCCCCCTGCCACAGCCTCTGGAGTCACTGGGATTATAGGCATGTGCCACCACACCTGGCCTGAAAATAATTTTATGCAATATTTTAGAGTGCCTAGATTTTGCCTGCTAGCTGTCACGTGAGGTGAGGTGTAGAATTTTCCACTTGTGGCATCATGCTGGTGCTCCAAAGGTTTCAGACTCTGGAATATGTCTGATTTAAATTTTGGAATGCTATAATCACCTGAAAATGTATTCAATAGTAACAAAAAAACATTTAAAAAAAAAAAGACATGACCATCAGAAGGGTAATACCACTACCAATAGCCATCAAACTGACATTCTAGAATATAAAAAAATTCCCACATCTAATTAGTAGAGTTTCTGATCTTGCAAAAGACTCAGACCCATCCTGAGATGCATCTATCCCAGGCTCCCACCCCTCATGACAGCAACTCTTTCGCACAGATTTTACCTTTCAAGAAAATCCTGGCACTCACCGGTCAGTAGTGAAAATGTATCCCACGAGGTCCTTACAGCTTAACAGCAGGACACAAAATGTTATAGCAAAGAGCTCTGGAGGTGAGAGGGAAAAAACAGCACAGTGAACAAGGAGGTCCGAAGGACACAGGGGCACCTGGGTTTCATGTACAGAGGCTACAGGCACTATGAGGCTCATGCACCGGGCCAATGGGTCTAAGCACCTGTGACCAGCAGGGAAACCACAGAGGACTTCTTTGCCTGCTCAATGTTGCCAGCACCCAAAGCATTTCCTACCCGGACGTTGGCAGCCACACTGAAGCCCGCAGGGATCTAAAATGAAAAGGAAGCCTACAACAACAAAACTGCAAAATGAGAACAAGAAACAGAGAAGCAACTTGGTGCCTCATATCTCCAAGGCAAAACTTGGTCCTATAAGTTCTGTAACCTAATTTGCAAATGGCCTTGGTCCTGCTGGGATGCCCAGGGCTTATGTGGAACCTGGATCCTCAAGATAACGATGCTCATCACACTCTGGACTTTTCTGTGAGTTTCTGAACCTCTGCCAGAGGAGGATCCCACAATCACAATCCTCCTCTGGGTATGGGGGAAGGGGAAGGGGATGAGCTACCCAGAGCCCACGCTAGTGTCTATTCTGAAAGATCATCAAGGGATTAAGTTTAGAAGACAGAAACTTGGTACCAAAGGAAGTATAAGGAAACCGAATTGGCACTGTAGTTAACGAATCAGGATTCTGAAGTCAGACAGCCTGCGTTCAAATCTCTGTGACCCTGAGCAAGTTACTTCACCTCTCTAGACCTATGCTTTGCGATCTCAAGTTACTTCGACTTTCTGGACCTTCATTATTTTATCTGTAAAAAGGTTTCAGTCATGGAGCCTACTGGACAGGGATACTGTGGGTCTTTACTGAGTCCATACCTGCTTACTGCTTAAGACAGTGTCTCACAGTTAGTAATTGCTCAATACAATTTACCATGACTATTATCTATAAATTTTCCACTTGGCAAATATTAATAAAGAAAAAAGATTCATCACTCTATAAAAGTTGCTATATAGTCAGGATAACTAAGGATGGGGTTAAAGAAAATCTAATACACAGATTGAGGAAGGATTGAGAGATGTAAAAGAAATGGAAGACTTAGTCCCCACCTACAAGCTCATGAAAGGGACAGAGATCTTGCAACAAATGATTTCTTCACCATAAAGGAAGATATAGGGACATGAGAGGGAGAAATCTGGCAGGAACCACCTTAACTAAGCAACCCAAATTAACATCACCAATGATAGAACCATCAATATCATGTGCCTCCTGATACAAGGCCCTGAGAAGAAGCACATGGCATTGCTTCTATAATATTCCTGCCAAAAATAGATATTAGTCTGAATCTATTTATGAGAAAATAGGTAGAACACACAGTCAAGGAAGACAGAGACAGTCTAAGGATTTGTTCCAGATTAAAGAACTCTAAAGAGATATGTCACCCTAATGTCAAAGGAAATAAACAGTTATAGAGGAGATTATTGGGACAATTGGTGGCATTTAATTATGGACCTTGCAGATAAATAAACAGGCAGGTAGGTAGACAGATAGGCAGAGCCAGCAAACGGAGCAAAATGTGAGCAGTTGTTGAATCTGCAGAAAGGGGTCCTTCTTTTTGAAGAGAGAGAAGTAGAAATGTAAATTCTTACAAGCCTGTTGGAAGGTATATGCAACACATACAAAGGACTTGAAATTGTACATTAAATGTCACTTGGTACAAATTTAAAGAAACAATCGAGCAAGTACACAGAGACGTTCATCCTAGGATGTTCATTGAGGTGTCCATTTTATACATAGCCAAATGGAGGAGAGAATGTAACCCTAATGCCACAAAAAAACTCAGAGCATCTTTGCTGATTTTAGTCTCTTTCCACATTACAAATGCCCCTTTCCATCACACGCGCGCGCGCGCGTGTGTGTGTGTGTGTGTGTGTGTGTGTGTGTGTGTGTGGTATGCCGGCGATGGAACCCAGGAACTAGCACATGCTAGGCAAGCACCCTACCAATGGAGCTACACCCCCAAACCCTGTCTTTAATTATATATTTCTAAAGTGATAACTTGCTATAGAAGAGAGTCCTTCAGAATATGCAATGGATGTTTTCCGTAAATCAAAGTCACAGAAAATCCTCAAATGAGTGGAGTTCCTCAAATGAATGGAAATCCTGCTTCCCATTCTTAGGAGGACCCATTATGATTTAGGAGGCTTCAGAACCAAGCAGTTGGGCATGGTAAGTAACTTAGCCTTTATGGCCACATACCCTGTTTCATCTCACCTGACCCCTCAAGGCATTTATGTTGTGACAACTGAAAAGATTCTAAATGTGTGAAAATACAATCAAACCTGTCCAACTTGAATTGTGATAGAGACAGAAAGCTAGAAGATTGTTATGATTTGGATATGAGGTGTCTCCCCAAAGCTCCTGTGTTAATGCTAGAGGTTATGGGAGCTGTAACCCAATCAGTGGATTAATCCATTTGATGGATTAAGAACTTGAAAAGACTACCACACTGGGTGGTAACTGTAAGCAGCTGGACCATGGCTAGAGAAGGAGGGTCACTGGAAGCATGCCCTTAAGGATTATATCTTGTCCCCTGGCTCCCCCTTCTTTTTCTGGTCCCATGAGGCAGCCTTCCTTCATCACGCCCTCTACCATGATGCTTGTGGGCCCAGAGCAATGGAATCGGCTGTCCGTGGACTGAACCCCTGAAACCATGAACCCAAAATAAACTTTTCCTCCTCTAAGTTCTTCTTGTCAGGTTTTTGGTCACAGCAATGAAAAGCGAACACATAGATCATTTGGAGTTTCTGCCTAACTCCGGCTTCAGCTCACCGGGAAGATCCAGCCATACCATAAGGACCCTCCTGGGCTTTCGGATAACATTCATCAATCATTTCACAAATTACTTACGCCACAAATGCTGTGCCCATCAAAGAACGCCACTTGCAGAATACCAAGCAAGGGGAACACCTAGCATGTCCACATGGTGGCACTCACTTACCATGTACACGATGATGGCTAGCTCATACACGATGGACTGAGCTCCCAGCTCCACCATGCCAAGGATACCTGGTGAATCAAGAAAGCTGACACCTTGCTTTTGGACCGATCTCCCCAATCCCCTGAACCCTACCCCCATTTTCACAAATCATCCTTATACAGACCACTCAGGAAGCTCCCAATCTCGTAGGCCCACCACTCGATGCACAGCATGAGCATGCTTGGGATAGCCAGGCGCAGGAAGGAGGCCCAGTCCTGCAGGCACTCGAGGGACCACCCTGCAGGCACACACACACACACACACACACATTTCCAGCATTATCTGGCCATTGGGCTGAACTCAGCCCAAGGCAAAGGCTCATCCACATTAGAAGACAAAAGGCAGTCGTACCTCCCCATGTAGCTTGATGCAGTTTCCTCCCAAGGATGTAGAGAAAGAGAAGGAGAGCCAGGGTGAACTGAGCAATCATATTGGCCAATGCAGAACCCCTGGAAAAGACAGTCCTTGTAAGGGCAGGCACCTGTGCTTCAACTTGTCCAAGCCTTCCTCAGTGAGGAGGGAAGCAATTCCCCTTGTTGTACTCTCTTCAGCAGGTTCCAAGATTATCTTCCCAGGACAGTACATCCCTCCATCCCCAATAGGGTTTTCCAGAGTAGCAGAAGGAGGCTACACAAGGAACAGCAAGTGCCCACCCTTCTTCCCCTTGGAGAAGTCCCAAGGGGAGGCTGGACTCACATCACCCCAAGATGCAGTTGATGGAGAAACAGGTAGTTGGCAAGGGCATTGACAAGGTTAGCGGCAACTCCCGTCAGGATCTGGGGCAGAACAATTCCCTGGAACAAGGAGATGACACAGGCCACACTTACCAGACACTCTCCAGCTAGCCTGCTCAGTTGGGTGTTTATCTCTGGTGTAGCAGGAGGGGTTAACTGGGGTGCAGTATTAGGTCCCTGCTACTCCTACCTCCCCACTCTCCCAGTCCCTCCTCTTGCTTCTCTTTCTAAAGCATGAAGTGAAGAGCTCTGACCACAGAGAGACGTACGGGCAAGAAATGTGGAGAAAGCAGAGAGAAGAGAAATGGCTCATCTCCAAAGGTTCCAGGATGCAGGAGCTGACAGGTTTAGAAAAGGCACTTCTACACTGGACGGTGTGTGAAAGTGCAATACTCTCTCAACCAAAATGGGAATTCAGAAAAATCGACCAAAGAAGATCTTGTGAAACTAGTGTTTCTTTCTGGAGGTGTGTAGAACAGACTATATCATAGCTGACTCTGAGAAACAGGGGCAGGAAAAATGTCCAGTCTATTTGGGTATTTCAAATGCAGACTTAGGGGCTAGGGTGTAGCTCAGTGGGGGAGCACTTGCCTAGCATGTTTGAAGCCCTGGGTTCAGTTCCTATGGGGAAAGTAGCAAATCAAATGAAGTCTTAGCACATGGACATAAAATAACATTTTATGGATGGCAAAATCTGTCCTGCCACATAAGGATAGAAGAACAGAATACGTAGGCTGCAAAGACAAGAGGGAACACTATTGCTCCCAAAGTCTCATTGCTCCCATAAACATGTCTTTCTTCTTCTTTTTTTTTTCTTTGAATGACTGCTGCTTTCTTACACACTGAGAAATTTTCTTCTCAAAATCAAAGTCTGTAAGAAATGTTGCTGTTTGAAATGATCTCAGTAAAAAGAAAACATCCCACTCTTCCTTTTGACTTTAACACAAAAGCATCTTTCGGGGCTGAGGGTGAAGCCCAGGGGTAGAGCACTCCCTAGCATGTACAAGACCCTGGGTTCCACCCCCTGCACCATAAAAGGAAAAAGAAAGTAGCTTCAATTTCCACCCCACGTGCAGAACTTCACATGAGTCCCTGGATGTAGTGGATTACATCCACCTGCCTCCTACATCCACCATAGCTTCACAGTTTCAGAAGGAAGAGGACCTGGGTCCATGTTACAGTGTAGACTTGATGCTGGTCCTTCACTCAGAGCCCTATTCTGTTCTAAGCCCACCAATCACCGCTTCATTTAAATTTCACCTGAACCCCAGCCTTCTTCAAACTCATTCTAACTCCTCTTCTTCATCTGATGAGACTCTCCATGACTCCTCTGATTTTTCTCTCAATAATGATTGGAAAAACCTAACAGGTTCATCTCTGATGGCTCAGGCAGAAGGGGCCAGGACAAGAGTCTTCTTTGACAACCACTTACATAAACCACTTATTTATCAAAAAGCCCCTGGTTAGTTTTTTAGCCGGGGAGCTTACGATCAGATTTACATTTGAGTCTGAAGATAAAATCAGCATTGTGGTGTTGGATGGACTCAGAGAAAGACTGGCAGCAGGAACACTTAGATTCTACAGAAATGACAGAGAACAAATGGCAAGAAATGAATTAGGCGGTGGCATCGAGGAGGGGGAGGGGCAGGTAGCACCTATGGGACCAGGTGACTGAGCAGACAGATGTAGGAGGAAGAAAAAAGAAGAAGTTACAGCCAGGCGTGGTGGCGCACACCTGTAATGCCAGCGGCTTGGGAGGCTGGGGCAGGAGGATTGCGAGTTCAAAGCCAACCTCCGCAAAAGCAAGGCCTAAGCAACTCAGTGAGACCCTGTCTCTAAATAAAATACAAAATAGAGCTGGGGATGTGGCTCAGTGGTCCAGTGCCCCTGAGTTCAATCCCTGGTACGGGAAAAAAAAAAAGAAGTTGTTAAAGGTGTGACAGGGCCTATGAAAGACAGATTACAAGGAGAGAAAGTGGTGGAGGCCATGGATTGAGATGGTATCCAGGCAGGGGAGGAGCAGGCTTGTGGGCAGGATGAAGAGGTCTTATATGCTACATGCATGAGTCTCCCAAAGACAGCTGGAAATATCACCTGGAGGTCAGAGACAGATGTGGAAGTTAAGTGCACACAAATACTCAGAGACAGATGTGGAAGTTAAGTGCACACAAATACTCAAAGAGGTAGCTCCCTCAGAGAAAGTCACAGGAGACCCAGGGAGGTCACTTTCCTACCTGAACATTTAAGGATTGCCTAGGCTCCTCTGTTCTCTTCCTCCCCTATGCCCCCTCTTGCAGATTACGAAGTCTCTCCATCACAGCCAGTTGCTTCTTTTTGCTCTACACTCAACTACTGACCAGGCTTCTCACTAGGGAGGGCCCCTGAGAAAGAAACTTTGGGGTAAAGTGCCACTCCCTCCTCTCCGATGGTCCCTCCAGTCCACCTGCCCTCTCATTCTATTGCGCTCACCACGATCGATCGCATGTCCTGCTGCTCCCACAAGGCAATGCTTCCTTCCTCGAGGACCTTCATCATCCCACTACCTCCACAACTACCTCATCTCTGCTCTGCTAATTAGCTTGTTTCCCACCAACTAAAGCCCTCATCAGAGAACATGAGGCTCTGCTCCAGCAGCCCCTGGGCCAGCGCACCCTTCTAACGCCATCACCCACAGTGTCCCCCAGCACTGCAGCCCCACTATCTGGGGTACCCTTCCCTTGCTTTCTCCTTAGAAACCGCTCATGCTCACCATAACTCTGTTCACACCTCTGACCCTCCTCAGCTCAGGGCTCCTACTTCTAGATCCCACATATTTCTGGAAAATGGTGTTTTCCTACCCACTGTCCTCACTTGACCAAATTAGGGCCTGAGGTTAAGGCCACCAAGAATGCTGACTTCTGGGTTGGGGATGGAACTCAGTAGTAGAGCATTTGCCCAGCATGCACAAGGCCCTGGGTTCCAGCCCCTCAGTCTAAAGATAGTTTGAGTATATAATTCTAACATTTAAAGATTGGAAGAGTCTTTATTTTTTTTTTAATGCAGTAATGTTCAATTGAGATCATGAAGAAGGTAGGCAACTTACACTTTTCCTTCTCCTTTCCCTCATTCTTCACGTTCCTCATGCTAGGAAAGCCTGCCTGTGTGATGGGGATCCACATCCCAGCCCCCATTTACCTGGATTGTTCTAGAAGCAAGTCCATGGTCGTACATCAAACACTGGCATCATGAATCCACAACTACCAAATCAGGCAACCATTCTGGGACCTTTGGCCACTTCTGTTAGCCACATATGAAAAGTCCTGACTAACATTAGATGTCATTAAAATTGAAGCTTATATGTCCCCACTGGGAAAACTGGGGGCTTTCAGACAGAATCAAGCAGAGAAGCTGGCTCTCTGGAACCAGGCAGGTCATTTGACCCTCATTTCTCTCCAGAGAGCAGACAGGACTGCACTCTTCCTTCCAAGGAGCCAGTTTAAAATGTAAGAGCCAAAGAACACAGAGGGTCCAACCCTATTTTGCCAATGACAATATTTCCCAGTGGGAACTGGATGTGAATTTTCCAGAGCCAAAAATAATGTTTTATTTCCTTGATATCACTTCACACCCCTCTCCACATCAAAGTCCTGAGCGCACAACCTTGAAAATGTCCCCCACTCTGGGGTCTCTGAGTATGCACAGGGCCCCCATCCCATTAGCCTCCCAAAGGAAAAGAACTGTCCACATTACCTGGTTGAGCAAGTATTTAACTTGTAATATATAAAGAAAGGTTGCCTGCAAGAGAACCAGAGGTGGATGTTAACGTTGTGGTCTGGCCACACATCAGTGAGCGGGGAGCCACGGCTGGCTTGTGCTGTAACCAAGACCCAGCTGCCCTCTGCCCCCACAGGGACCCACCAAGCCTCCCTCTAAGCACAGGGTCAGGAGCAGGGCATTTGTGTGGCCAAGGAGTTTCCACACATCTCTCTTATGGATTCATATGATCCAAGCAAACCCCCATCTGAAAAAAAGGAAATGCAGTTTTCTTGGTACATGGCAAAGATATTCTGGGGATATTGGGAGGTAACTTGGAGGGCCCCCTCCTTGTGGACAAGGCTGTTGTCCCACTCAGTGGAACGATGAAAAAAAAATCACATTTTTAAAGATTTTAGGGTAGAACTGGAGGTGCACCTCAGTGGTAAAGCATTTGACTAACATTTTAGGTCCTGGTTCAATGCCCAGCAACTCCCGCCCCACCCCCAACTCCTGCCCCTCCCCCCCAAAAAAGTGACATAAAAATAAAATAAAGGGCTGGGGATATAGCTCAGTTGGTAGAGTGCTTGCCTTGCCTGCACAAGGCCATGGGTTTAACCCCTAGCACCACAAAAAAAAAAAAAAAAAAAAAGAAAAAAGAAAAAGAAAAGAAAGAAACAATCAATCAATCGGGCTGGGATTGTAGCTCAGTGGTGGAGCGCTTGCCTGCATGTGTGAGGCACTGGGTTTGATTCTCAGCACCACATATAAATAAACAAAATAAAGGTCCATCAACAACTAAAAAAATCTTAAAAAAAAATAAAAATAAATAAAATAAAAGCAGATAAACTAAAGAGCACAGAGTTAGTTATGAGGACCAATGGATACTATTACAGGCTGAACTGTGTCCCCCAAACTCACACTGAAGCCCTATTCCCCATGTGACTATATTTGGAGGTCTTTAAAGAGATGATTGAGGGTATAATAGTGATGCCCTAATCCAACAGGATCAGTGACCTTATAAGAAGGCACTAGGAGCTCTGTACACAAGAGGATGACTAAGTGACTTGGCAGCAAAAGAGGGGCCGTCTACAAGCCAAGGAGAGAGGCCACAACCCTGCTGATACCGTTACCTTGGACTTGCAGCTCCCAGAACGGTGAGAAAATACATTTTTGTTGTTTAAGTCCCCCAGTCTGTGATATTATGTTGTGACGGCCCCAGCAAATGAATCCATCCACACTCTCCAACTTAAATGACCTTAGCTTTGATTGTTCATTGACCACAGACAAATGGGTGTCAAACATTAACACCTACCTAAGAGCTCGGTGGGATCACACTCTGTCTCCTGAGTGTGTCTCCACAAAAGGTCTAAAGGTCAAAGTGATGCTCTCAGAGGTTATGAGGTGGGTAAGACCTCTGGGGGTGGGGGGAAGAAAGTCTGAATTCTTCTCTCTGGATGATCCCACAAGGCCCTGAAGCTATTGGAATTCAAGAAGGTGGCCTCCTGGAATGGAGTCACCCCCCCCCCCAACCCTGGTGTTTCTTTGAGATGAAGTTAACATTGGCTGCGTCCTTAATGGGTGGGATTAAAAGCACACTTCTGCAGAGGAGCCTACGTCTCCCATGAGACTCACAAGACTGACTGAGCCAACACATGGGGTTCACAGATGTCCCAGCTACTGTTCACCCCTGGACCTCAAGGATGGAGCTTTTGAGCCCTTGAAAACTTACAGGAAGAGCTGGAATGAAGATCATCACATAGGTCTGTGTAAGCCTATATCATGAAAAATAAGAAACAATAAGAGAGGCCTGTATTTCAGGAGAGGCAGAATAGAATAACTCAAGCTACTTTTTGCATCCTTGGTTCTTCCTAAATAAATGGACTCAAACCACTGCAGAGAATGGGAAAATTGATACATAGATCTTGTCATCTTATAACCCAAATTACCTTTCTTGCTTCTTTCAAGCCTAAGTCTAGGATAGGTGTGTTATGGTTTGGGTGTGAGCTGGCCCCCCCAAAGCTCCTGTGAGGCTGTTCAGAGGTGAAATGACTAGATGATGAGAGTTGTAACCTAATCAGGAGATCCATCCACTTGATGGATTTATGATTTGAAAGGAATCCTGTACTGGATAGCAACTGTAGGAGGTGTGGTGTGGCTGGAGGAAATAAATCTCCCGAGGGGTGCCCTGAGGGATTATATCTGGTCCACCTGGCTCCTCCTTCTCAGCCACCATGATCTGAGCAGTCATTATCCTTTAAACCTGTGGGTCTCAAACATGGCAGCTCATTGGCATCACCTAGGAAGCTTTTTTATTTAATATTTATTTTTTAGTTGTAGTTGGACACATACCTTTATTTTACTTATTATTATTATTTTTTTAATGTGGTGCTGAAGATCGAACCCAGGGCCTCGCACATGCTAGGCAAGTGCTCTACCGCTGAGGCACAACCCCAGCCCCCCCTGGGAAGCTTTGAAAACTACTGAGGCCCCGACCTCACCCTGGACCAATTAAGAGTCCTGGAGCTGGGGACCAGATGCCTGGGTTGAGGGTTAAAGTACCCAGGTGATTTTAATACCACCCTCAGTCACAAGTCACAGATCATTGACTACCATGCCTCACGGAGGATGTTTGTAAAGCGAATTCCAATCAAAACTCTTTACCCTGGAAGTCGCCAGGAGAGAAGGGGGTCTTAGATCTTAGAAGCCAGGTGTGGAAGGAACTAAGGTGGGAGGCGTCAGCCAAGGAGGGCTGGATGCTCATCTTGATATTCAGCCTTGTCCCCCCTGCCTTTTGTAATTCCCAGAGGGTGAGCCTGCCTGGATAGATAGTCCTTCTGCTGGGGAGGATGCCCATGCCACCACGACATATCTCATCTTACCTGGACACATCCGGGTCCTGCCTGAAGAGCAGCAAGATGTGCTGAGTGTTGAGGAAAAGTGCCCAGCAGGGAAAGCAGCAGAGGAGCAGAATGAGCATGCCCCTCTGTAGGATGACCCCCACATATTTCAAGTTCTGGCTCCCGTATGTCTAGAGTATGCACATCCAAAACAAACCCATTAGCACAGAAATGGCACATCTTCGCTGTCCCCCAAAAGCCTCCTATCCTACCTCATAAACAAACATGCCAGCAGACTCTGTCATATTCTTTAGGGATAAGGTGACCATGGTGAGAAAAATGGGTAATTTTAGAATGTCACTGCCCATGAGAACCATCCTGGGGGATATTTTTAAACTGATGACAGGATCCCACTAAAGTTACTCTAGATTTAACTGGTCCAAGGTAGGATACCAAGTAATAATAATGTTTAAAAGCTCTCCGTGTGATTCTAATGTGCAGTCAGAGTTGCATAACCTGGAAACTTGTTAAAAATGCAAATTCTCGGGCTCCATTCCAGACCTACTAAAGTGGAAACTCTGGGGTCAGGGCCAGTGGTATGAGGAGCCAGTTCCTACTGACTTACAGAAGCCAAGTTGTGCGCGTCTCTTCCAGTTTCATGTTCAGTGCCATCTCCGTGGCACCTTCAGATTAGTCAGAGGGAATGTTTACACAAATACACATGGTCCTCAGTTTAGGAATGGATCAATCTAATTTTTCAACTTTAAGATGGTACAAAGGGGATATGGGGTCAGTCCGTGGAAACCATGCTTTGAATTTTGATTTTGGATCCTTCCCTAGGTTTGTAATATGAGGTATGATCCTCTCTCTTGGTGCTGGGCAGTGGCCGCTAGCCACAGCTCCCGGTCAGCCCCACAATCATGAGGGGAAACAACTGAATACAGTGTGTTATGTGGCTAAGCTAGGATATTTGGTAGGTTAGCGTGCTAAATGCATTTTCAACTTCAAATGTTTCCAATTTGATGGGTTTATTGGGATATAATAGCACAATAAATTTAAAATATCTATATATGAGTCAGAACGTTCCCCTCCACCTCCTCCCTCTTTCCCAAAGAGAATGTGAATATTAACCTACACCCCCAGATAGGGCCCAGAAACCTGTGTCTTGACAAACCCTTGAGGTGATTCTGATGCAGGCCCAGGTTTGAAAACTACAGGACCATTAACTCAAACGTGTACATGATAGAAGGGACTTTTGCAAAATATTCACTGTTTGGTCAAAACAAATAAGGTAGTTATACAGTGAACACTAGTTCACAATGCGGAAAGGAACCCAGCCACATTTCAAATAGAGCAGGCAAGGAGAACTGGAGTCAATTGAGTGAGAATGCCACAGGTATCTACTGTCGCAAATTTTCTCATCTGTGGGCACACATGACTCTCCTTCTTGCTGATGGGGTTCTGCCATCTATATTTAAGAGAAGATGTTGGGGGCACTGAGAAAATGTGACCACTTCCATACCTGGGAGATGAGGGTGTCACATGCAGAAGATAAGCCATGTCCCACTGAAATGCCAGTGACATTGATAACCTGGAAATAAACCAAGGATAAGACCAGACATTGTTAAAGAGGAAAGAAAGGTAAATTTTCTATCTTGATGATCAAAGCCAGCCAAGCTCCTCCTTCAGCATTAACATGCCAATCTAATCACCTTGTTAACTCCCCGGAACCCCTGCTCCAATCTATTGGGCCAGATTAAAGGACATACACACAAGATCAGAGAGGGATGAAAAATCTAGGTCAGAGGTCATTACCCAGTGTTTTTGTATTTTAAGTCTTAGATATTTTGCTCTCTAACTTCAGGGAGTCATGAACCCTTCTTATGGGAACGGAATGGGGCACTAGCCATTTTGGATCAGTCCCTTGCTCAAAACTGTTGGTTGAGCCCCCCCACCCCCTACAATCCAGAAATCCACAATCTGCAATACTCTAAAATCTGAAGCTTCCGGACTGACAGGATGCTCAAAAAGTGGTCATGTGTTATCGCAGCAGGAGAAAATGAACACTGAGGGTTTTCATAAACCTCTGCTAGGAAGTCTTGTACGTACTGCAATTGCAAGTGTGACTGCATCCAGTTCCAGCTTGCCCAGATGGCCGCAAAACACAGAGCTTATGAAACTGATCAGGAACATCATCAGCTGGGCCAAGAACTGGGAACAGAGGGGAAGAGGAGGAGAGATGAATGCCAGCCATCACAGTCCAAGGTGGCTTGGTGCCCTCCCCCAACCAGCTCCAATGGGAGGTAAAGGCACCCAACTTTTAGAGAACCACTGCTAGCTTCCATAGTCCAATGTATGATTTCTGAGGGCCTTTTTGAAATAGCCAAATGTTTATTTGCAATCACTGGGTCAAAAACCCATTAAAAATTTTTTTTTATTTCTAAAAATTTTAATTGAAGCCGAACTTGCTAGTACATGCCTGTGATACTAGTGACTCGGAAGGCGGAGGCAGGAGGATTCCAAGTATGAGGCCAACCTGGATAACTCAGCAAGATCCTTTCACAAAACAAGAAATAAAAAAGGGCTGGGGATGTAGCTCAGTGGTGCATTATTTACCCACACCCCTAGATAGGGCCCAGCACCCTGTGTTTTGACAAACCCTTGAGATGATTCTCATGCAGGCCCTGGGGTTCAATTCCAAGTACCAGAAAAAAAATGTTTTTAATTGACACATAATAATGATACATACTTATGGGGTACAGTATGATATTTAATATAGTATTACATTACCATGTAATGATTAGATCAGGGTAAGTGGTGCACCCATTACCTTCAACCCTTATCATTCCTTTGTATTGGGAACATTCAAAATTCTCTACACTAGTCATTTTGAAATATGCATTTAATTGTTGTCAACTGTAGTTACCCTACTGTGCTATAAAACGTTAGAAGTTTACCTCCTATCCAACAGCACCCCTGTACCAACATCCTCTTTCCATTCCCCCAGAATCACATTTTTAAGAACATCCCAGTCTTTTTGGTGTTATTTTTCACTTCAGTTGCTCATGCACAGATCACATTAAATTTCTTCAGAAGTTTTTAGAGGTTGCTTTCTTGGATAACCTCTTTGTTCCTTGTTATTCCAGATTCCTAAATGAGAATTCTCCTGAAGAGAATATAGCTTTCAATGGCAAGAACTCACTCCAGTCAGTATGACATTCCACAATCAGCAGGGCCTAAGGTAGGAGTGAGATCATTCACTAAAAGGCCAGTATGATCTGGGATCCCTGGGTGAAATGCTACTGGTTGCACCCGAGTGTCTCTGTCTCTGTCTCTGTCTCTCTATGTCTATGTCTATGCCTCTCTCTCCCTCTCTCTCTCTCTCTCTCTCTCTCTCTCTCTCTCTCTCTCTGCACTGGGGATTGAACCCACAGGCACTTTACCTGTGTTTTTCATTTTTATTTTGAGACAGGGTCTCACCAAGTTGCTTAGAGTCCCTCTAAGTTGCTGAGGCTGGCCTTGAACTTGCAATTCTCCTGCCTCAGCATCCTGAGTCTCTGGGATCATGGGCACATGCCACTGAGACCCAGCTACCTATAATTCCGTAATTCTACAAGGCTCAGATATGAAAGCAAATTCAGTTTCGGGACTATTAAGCTATTCTTCCTCAAAATTCCAGTGACTATTAAGAATCGCACAATGCTTGATCACTTATATCTTGAGGTTAATTTAAAACCAGTTCATGCTAGACCCAAGCAGTCCAGTATCAGATTATTCATGTCTTATGTCTCTCCAAGAGGGAGGTTCATTTGAACCCCCTCCCTAGAAGAAGAGAACAGGCATCTAAGGATTTGCTTGCCTGCCTCACAGAAGCCCTTCCAAAAACTGATGCCAAGGATGGTGACAGTGTTGGTTCAGCTCCAATGCTACCTCTTATAGCCTTTCAAGGGCTTCCAGTGACACAGCTTTTATTTCTGGTCTCCACACAAACTGTGCCAGCCCTTTAGCCATCCCAAAATTGCTGTATTAGTACCTGATCAGGTCCAGAGCTGTAACAAGGTGACTACTCTCCTTTCATCCCTAGAAACCACATCTAGAGAGACCATTTCCAACTCCAGTGATTGGCCAGACCTTCAAAATATGAATGGCCATCTTCTAACTGTGTGTGTGTGTGTGTGTGTGTGTGCGCGCGCGCGCACGCGCACCCAAGTCTTAGGAACATATCTTTCTTGCATCAGCTCCCAAACCCAGACCCTCTCTCACTACACCAGAAATCAAATGTGAATTTAATTTCCAACAGGGCCTCTTTCTACTGAGCAGAAGGAAGACTTTGGTATTGCACAAGAAAGACAAAATAAGACAGGAGGGAAATGGAAATGGAGGAGTGGTGATGGGGACCAAGAAGTGGGGACAAAGGGTTTGGCTCTGGGATAGGGGGCTTACCTAGCACAAGTCCTAAATTCAATCTCCAGCACCACAGAACAAAGAAAGGAAAAGACGTGAATAATCTGATTCTGTAGAATCTAAAGCTTGAGCCAATGGATTTCCATAGCCTCTTGCCAGGACATAGTGACATGATTTAGGTGTTGTCATTTCCCTTACAGATGTTTTCTGTGGTTTCATTCAGTGGTGGCTGGTGGCTCTTTAAATTATGAATTCAGATAACTTCAAAGGTCTTAGGTCACCCAGAATCATTTCCCAATCTTTTCAGATGGCTGTTCGTGAGGTGTTGGGTTGCCCAGAAACCATAGCAAACTGTCAGGTTCACAGAATGTTTTCTGTTTTCTCCTTTCCCACAGAACTTCATGTTTCCACTGCACCATTCCCTGCCTCCTTACAGGTGACACATAAGCTATTTTTCATGTCTTCATGTGAAAAAGGCTCATTCTCGCCTATCAACAGGCCTCTGGAGTGTAGCCGAGATTTTGCTATTATAAACCATACTGCTCCGAACATCTTTTCAGCTGGGTGGGATGAGGCATTTTCTTAGGGTGAGCGCCCAGTCCAAGGGTAGGAATAGTTCAGATGTCTCTTATACAAAAGTCAAAGAAAGTTGAGCACAGTTCAACTGATCCAGTGAGACACACCTTCAATGTCAATGCCAGCTAAAACTGTTCCTTTGTGAAGGCAGCTGCAATTTTGCTGGGGTTATGGTAACAACCCTGTTCTCATTACCCAGGTCAGACAGCCAAACCCAGCCAGCCCATCCTGAGCCTCAGTCCCAGGAGGGACAGAGTTCTGGAACTTAGATTTACTAACTACTCCTCAGATTCTGGTTTCAAGCCCTTTGGGTGACTCCTAGTCACAGAATGTGCTTTATGTACACAAAGGTCACCCAGGGAGCAAGGTGATAAAAATGCTTGTGTTCTGGCTGATTTTGACAAACTGATTTAGGAGATAAGGGGGGCTGACAAATCTGCATTTTAACATATCCTCCACCCTACCCCCATATATAGCCTATACATAGGTGCTCAAGGATAACACTTTGAGAATGTTCTAGACCCTTGGGGGAAAAAAAAAAAGCATGTTGCTATGCCAGGGAATTCACCAATCCTGGACAAAGTTTTGTTGCCCTAAGATATCTCAATGCTGCCTGAAAAACGGTGAACTGAACTGGCAGTGGCTCAGATGGAGCCAAATGGACAATACAAATTGTGAAGAGTAGGGGCTGAATGTGTGTAGCTCAGTTACAGACCTCGTGCTTAGCATGTTCCAGGCCCTGGGCTCAATCTCAGTGAACTGCTCAGTGAACTGTACAAGTCCCCCAGAAGGACTTTTCTTACCCCTTCCCAGTGGGCCTGAAAGTCCACTCTTAGAGCAAAAGGTCAGCACAGAAAAGAATCTGCGAAGTCACCCCAGACAGCCTCCTTATACATGAGGAAGCTTCAGTCCAAAGTCACCTGACCGAATGCAGAATGTCTTTTCAGGAAAACGTCTCTGGAACTCAAAGTGCCTGGGTGTGCATTAACCAAACACCATTGCTTCATTCCTACCCAATGGAACCCATGGTAGAAAAGGAAAAGATGTTGCAGATGCAGGAACTCAGCTAAGTGGGATTTGCATGGTGAGCTGTAGGGACACAGCAAGTAGTCAGGAAAGGTCCCTGGAGGCAATGAGTTAACATTTGAATGATGAATTTTTAGGCAGAGGGACCGAGTATAGGTAGTGGGAGGGGGTGCTGAGGCTTCCTAGGAGAAAGGCAATGGAAGACAGTGAAAAAGCTAAGGCAGGAGGGTTCCATAGAGATCAGAGCTCAGAGGGACTTACAGGATCAAGTTCAGGGGTTTGAGCTGGGGCTCAGAGCTCAGATATGCATTTGAAAGGGATTTCAGAGCTCCATGTGGAATATTTGGGGCACCATGAGCTAGAAACACTGCTTGGAGCTATAGTGGTCCACTGAGAGAGTAGGAACGTGAAGTAGATCTCTCTGAGGGCCATTCAGAGTGCTAAAACCAGAAGTCTTCAGGAGGATGGGTTGGAAGGGGAACTGGAAAGGAGAGAGGGAAGGTCCTGGGCCCCTCTGGGGTTCTGTCTGTTTAGCTCCCACCAACACTCAATACTTCCCCACATCCTTTCACTCATCCTTTGACCTGTCTGGAAGAGGAACCATCTTCCCCTTCCTGGTTTTCCTCTCCTTTGGCCTGGATTGTCTCCTGTCCCTTGCAACCTTCCCCGCTGAATCTGACATATGTCACTAATCACTCCCTGTCAAGTATTTCCCTATACCCCCATGACAATTCACACTTTCAGCCTGCATTTGTTTGTTTTTTTGTCTTGACTCCAGTTACATCTGATGTCACCCCTCTGCCCGAGCTATCCCTGTATCTTCTGCCCTGAAGCCCTAGAAGTTTCCAGAGCTCTTTCCCAGAAGTTTGGACCTAGGCATCCTACCTCTCTTACATCACAGTCCATGCCCACAGGGAAATCCATCTTTGGGGTTATTTTTTGAGGACTCTAACAATTCATCTTGGTTGGAAGATGCTAATCACAAAAGGAGAGCATAGTTGAAACGGCCTGAGGCTAGGTATTTGCAGACTACCACTTTCCATCCCTGGGCAAATACCTGCATTCCTAAAGTTTTCAGCAGGATAAAATGAAGAGCATCTTTTGAGAGGTGAACCTGTTCATCTCCCACTCTCTCCTTGGCCTTCTGGATTATTCTCTCTTCAGATCAATAGGAGAGTATCATGGTGAATCCTAATGCTCCCAAGTGTCAGGAAACATGAGAGGTCTGGAAGGGAGATGGTGAATAAGAAAGAGGAAACACACACACACACACACACAGAGAGAGAGAGAGAGAGAGAGAGAGAGAGAGAGAGGCGTGCCACACACTGGCCATTCTACCTATTTTATGGTAGAGTCTTGGAGAAGACAGTATTGGACATTGACCACAGGGGAAAAAGGTTTTGATCTCCTATCCCTTGCCCCTTAGAAAATAGGAAACTTAACAGCAGATGGGAATAGAGATGGAGAGGCTTCAAGACAGGATCCATATACTGGTACCAGCGGTCTCCAATCTCATTTTTGCAAAGCATTCATGGGCATGTACACAAGAGACTGGAAGGGGAAATCCCAAATTATCTCTTGACAGTGTGATCTTAGAGTATTTTTCTTCTGTTGGTCCTGGGGTTCCCCCCCCCCTGCAATGAGTATGTATTGTATTTGTAATAAACACAATCATGCACATGTATAGGTGTACATGCACACAGACAGAAAGGGGAGCCCCCCTTCAGATCAGTCTAATGCTCATCCCTGGAGATCCAAGGATGTCTCCTACACCCAGGGCATTGAAACAGATTGAATTTGGGGGATGCCTTCTGGAATGGAGTTCAACTTCCTCATGATGAGAATGGAAGCCATGGGTCTGCCTCCCCATGGCCTAACCAGGGTGGCCAAAGAAGCTGAGGATGGAGACTGCCCCCTGCCCTGGCCTGTCTAGCACAGGCTAACTAAATCTGCATATGTGTATTTCCTTCCTTTCCTCCCATTCTGCCCCCTCTTGAGGCCAACTAATTCTACGTATGTATACTACCTGGCTTTGGTTTCTATAAATTTTAAGGGCTTTAATGGGACCTGAAGGGAGAAGGAATCTAGCTGCTTCTCCCCAATTTGATCAAACTGCAAAAAGTTCACTTTTCTTTTTTTCCATCCTGTGCATATTTTTTACACAGGGGGGTGGCCCAATCCAACCGGCTGGGCTCATCCTCACTTTATGGATGGATAAGTGGAAACTAGAAATGCTCAAATTCACAAATCCATTTCCTAACATACTTTGGAAGAGATGGAAGCAGGTGTAACAGGGATCCTCTTTTGAAGTTGCCCTGATTTCCTCCTCCCTTTGCCCTTCTATCCCTCCATAATCCTTTTAGAGAAAAGAAAGCCCACCTAGATGGTTACAATGTTAACCAATGTTAACTGCTAAATCCCCATCCCCTGCCCCCTTGCAGTACCGAGATTGAAGCCAAGGGCTCTCTAACACTAGGCTACATCCCTGTATCCCTGTATTTTTTTATTTTGAGACAGAGTCATGCTAAATTGCCTCAAACTTGCGATCCTCCTGCCTCAGGCTCTCAGATTACAGGCCCGCACCACCATGTCCTCTAAATATTTCTTTAGAATTCTAGAACGCTGAACATCTGATGACCTTTGTAGTGCTCCTTCTGTTTGGATCTATGTATCAACTAACAGGGAGCATGTAAATTCAAAAGAAAAAGAATGGTAGCAGCTCACTGGCCCCCAGGATTGGAAATCTGCTGCAATGTTCCAAAAAAGAAAAAAGAGCACACAGACGAAGAGGACCCCGATCAGCACCTAGCTTTTCTGCCCTGCTTCTCCTTTCTCCTCCCTATAAAAAAACCCTTTGTGACCCCTGAGAACTCCTAGATGGATCTTTGAGGGGATAGCTTCTCTATTTTCTCAAGAATGCCAGCCCTTGAGTAAGCCTGAATCCATTCTACCAACTCTCAGCTCTCTAATATTGGCCTTCCAGGGGCAGGTAACCTGGACCATTAATTCCCTCAACACAGGGAAGTAAAGCCCAGGACTGGAGATTCCAAAGTAGGAGTTCTTTCCTATCTACCAGGAGCATCACAGCCTCCTACACACTGGGTGGATTTTCATTTCATAGCTTTATCCTCCTCATGATTCTTACTGCCTGCACTCCACAATGCTGTCACTATATCCCACAAACCGAGGCAAGTACCATTGCTGGAGGCCACACCTTTCCATCTTAGCCAGAGCAGGTGCAGAATGTCTATGCCTTAACCAAAAGTGTATTCTCTTTAAACATACACTGACAGCTTCTGGTCTAGTTGAAGTGGCTATCCTACCCCACAACTGGAACTGGCAGAATATGAACAGGATTACATGTTTTGTGGTTCTTAAGATTTAAAACACACGCGCGCGCACACACATTACCTTTAAAAGGCAAGGCAGAAAGAGGAGTAAGCAAAAAGCAAAATAAAACAAACGAACAAACCAAAAAAACCCACAGATAAGAACTTCAACTCCAAACAGAACCATGTTAAAAACTTTTTTTTTTTTTAACACAATTACTGGTGGGGAAGGGAAGCTGGTGCAGGATGCCTTTGCAGAGGTTGATTCCGATTTCCAAATATTTTCAGAAGCCTAAATGCAACAGGGACAATTCGCCTTCCTCTTCCATGCCTCAGGATAATTATCTGGATACCGGAACTACCGGACTTAGCCGCTAGTTGCAAAGAAGCCAAGTTTTGGGTACTTTGAAGTTCTAGTAACTTTTGCTTAGTTCTCTGAAAATCCGCGCTCACTGAAGGCACCCAGTGGTGGTGGTGGGCGGGGGGATGACAGTTTCTTTAGGGGCACAGGTTCCCGCTTCCCAGGAGATACTAACGCAGGAGGCGGGAGCCGCCGGCCTTGCGGTGCCTGCTGCTCGCCCAGGAGCCAGCTGTGCCCAGTGGGACGGTGCAGAGCAGTTGGCAACCAGGACACACGCGGAGACGAGGAGGCGCACAGGCGCCCTCCCGGATCTCCGCACCCTGGGAAGGTAGCGCCCACCCGTTCCCCTTCCTGCGGCAAGTTCCCTCGGTCCCCACCTCTCCCAAGACTTACGCGGCAACATGGGTCACGGGGCCCCCAACCTGCCTGGACTAGCCTGCAACTGGGGCCACCTGACTCACCGCGGGGCCCGCCAGGATCAGGAGGGCCCGCAGCTCCTCTCGGAAGTCGGAAAACAGCAGGCAGCGCAGCCCGCGGCGATCAGAGGTGGTCTCCGGGCCTACCCGCCCGGGCGCGGGTTCCAGGGGAGCCTCCATGTGCCTGGCGCGGTGCTGCCGGGGAGCGCGGACACTGGCCGCAGGACCGCACTGGGCCCGCCCCAACTCCAGTCCCCGCCCTTGACCACCGCCCCCAGCCCTCCCAGCGCCTTACTGAGTGCGCGGCCAGCCAGCCGCGACCTTGGACCGGCACCTTACACCCCAAAACCGGGGTCGTAGGCCCCCAGTCCTAGGAAGGCTGTGAACTCCGGCACTTTTTGGAGATCCGAGTTTGAAAAGCTCTCCAACTAACGGAAAGCGCTCCGGGGATGGGAGGGCAGATCCTCCGAGGCTCGGACATTGGGACTCGCTGTGGCCCTGCGTCTCTCCTGGGGGTTTCAGAGTCTGAAGTTTGTAGAGTGGAAGATCGGGCTGGCGGACAGCCAGTTGTCCGGGTTGGGCGCTTTGGGTGGTTGCTGTGCGGCTTGCTCTCAGCGCATACCATTTCCCATTTGGATTCTACCTACTTCTTTTCTACCACCAGTAGTTCTCTTAAAGAACTTAGAAACTATCAGGATAAAGCTGCAAGTTGACATTTTCCAGTTTGAGTTCGCTGGTCTTAGATGCTTATCCATCTGGCAGACGTGGGAGTAAGAGAGGCTGCTGCCTTAGAAAACATAGGCAACTTGCCTCGTAGAACCTCAGTTTCCTCAAAATGATATGTACCTGCCAGTTAGGAGAAATGATTGGGATCGTGTGGGTGGAGGGCCCGATCCAGTACCACGTGATCCCAGCCTGGCACTCAGTCGCTGCCTAACAAACCTTAGCTACCAAGTCCAGGATGATTTCTGTTAACAGGCAAAATTCCTTCTGTTCTAAGTGATCCATCTTAAGCAGTGAAACTAGGAAAACAGAAATATGTTGGCTCAGGGAACCAGAAAGTTTGGATTCAGGGATTTAAAAACAAGATCAGTAGTATTTTCCCTTTAGCCACCTCTCTTCCTCTCCCTTGCTCTCCACACCAACTGTGATTCACTCTTTAGTTTCTTTCTTCCTGAACCGGTGCCTTTCCCTTCTCGGCAGGTGATGGTGGCCTCTAGTGCCCACATTCCTAACTTACCCACCCTGTGGGCCAGAAAGTAAGACCCTTCCTGCTTTTCTTCTAGCTCCAAAGTAACAAACACAAAACTTGGAGAAAACTTAATCAACCCTGCTTAGATTTCTTACCCACTTCTGGAACAATCGCTGTGGCCAGGAAAATAGGATCTAATGTTTGGCAGCAACTGAAACATGCACTGAACTCTGTACCAAAGGGTTGAATGCTATTCACAACTAGTTAAGCGTCCCACCAGAATTTCATGGAGTAGAGAAGTTTCCCAAAAGCTATGAGACCTCATAGATAAAAATGTTAGGATATAGACTAGATCTTTGGTCACTGCTATTGTATTTTTGTTTGCTCTTCTGGTTTTATATTTTATTACTGCTGTGGTGCTCAGACCTTGACCAGGTACCTCCACAGCTGCTTCTCAGTTTCAGGTCCTCCTGCTTCATGACTCTGAGGCACAGGACACACATCTTTTTGGTGTAGATCCTGGGGTTTAAACTTCTTGCCCTTGTAGAATCTCCTGAGGTTTTCTTTCTGAGTCTGGTTAATGATGGAGAGAATATAAGCAATGTGTTTGTGGACTGCTCTCATCTTGGAGAGCTTGGACTCAATGCTGCCTGTCACTTTGGGGATGTGCAGCTGGGACAATTCTGCCTTCAAGTCATCCAGCTGTTTCAACAGCTCCTCTTCCTCCTTGCTGAGAAGATCCTGAGCCTTCATCTTGCCCATGGCTGCACAAGCCACTGCTGCTGCCTGCTACCCTCTGCACAAAACAACCACTGCTATTGTTCAATAGCATCAGATTTTGGATCTGGAATAACCCCCCCCCCAAAGACTCATGTATTGAGGGCTTGATCCCTCATGCAGTGGAGGAACTTGTGGGAAGTGATTGCATTGTTAGGAATCTAACCTCATCAATGGATTAAACCATTGAGGCATTCATAGCTGAATGGACATATTGGGAGGTAACACAAACTGTAGGAGGTGGGACCTAGTTGAAAGGAATGGGTCCTTGGGGGCATGCCCTTGCAGGCAATACTTGTTCCTGGTCCTCTCTCCCCACCCTCCTTCTCCTTCCTAGCCAGCATAGGGTGAATAGCTTTGTTCAGCCAGGCCCTTCCACCGTGATGTTCTACCTCACCCCAGGCCCAAAGCAATGAAGCCATCCACTCATGGGATGAAATCATAAGCCAAAATAAGTCTTTTCCTTTGTAAATTGGTTTTTCTCGGGTATTTTATCACAGTGATGAAAGCTGACTAACACAAATCATCTCTGGGAAATCCTGGCCAATGTAATAAGTCATGAAACAGAAATGTAATGTATAAATATAGCAAAAGAAGAAGCAAAAGCCTTACTTACAGACAATCCAAAGACACCCAATAGGGGGAAAAAGGCTAATAGAATTAATAAAGGAGATTGGGGATGTAGTTCAGTGGCATTTGCTTAGCATGCGAAAACTCTTGGATCAATCCCTAGCACTGGCAAAATAAATAAATAATAATAATAACACCAACAACATTAACAAAGGTGTTTAATAAAGCTACTTACAAGTTCTTCAACAAATATTATAAAAACAAATATTATCAGCCTTTTATTTGTTGGCAATAACACTTATGTAAAAACATTTTTAAAGGGAATCTCTTTTACAACAAAAATTCCCGGCCCTCAAGCCTTAAATGTGGGCTGTACACAGTGACTTCCTTCCAAAGAGTATGGTACAGAAAGGGAGTAAATAGCAACTTCACAACAGAGAAAACTGACAGACATAACTTCAGCCAGATGATCAAAGTTAATATCAACAGTTATGCATAATATTATTACCATGTCCCCGGCTTAGTTTCCTAGGGCTGCTGCAACAAATCACCACAGACAGTGCTTGAATCAACAGAATTTTATTCTCACACACTTCTGGAGACCAGAAATCTGAGATCAAGGAGTTGGCAGACTGGGCTCCTTCTTGGAGGCTCAGGGAGAGAGTTTGTTCCATGCTTCTCTGGGGGGCTGGTGCTTGCCTGCAACTCTTGCAATTCCTTATTTTGCAGCAGCATAATTCCAATTGCTGCCTCTGGCATGATGTGCTATCTTTTCTGTATTTGTCTCTGCATCTGTTTTCTCGTCACAGCAGGACATCAGTCATTGAATCAAGAGCCCACCCTAATCCATATGACCTCATCTTAACTTGATTACATCTGAAAAGACCCACTTCTAATAAAGTCACATTCTGAGTTTCCAGATAGAGATAAATTGGGGGAAGGGGACAATAATCAACCAAGTACAGTATTCTTGGTAGGATATATAGAAAATAATACTTGGCTTATATGGTCTTCTTCCCCAAAATTCATAACTCCAATCTAATCAACAGAAAAATATCAGACAAATCCCAACTAAGAAACAGCCTACAAAATGAACAGAATTCAGGACTGGGGTTGTGGCTCAGTGGTAGAGTGCTCATCTAGCACATGTGAGGCCCTGGGTTCAATCCTCAGCACCTCATAAAAATAAATAAATAAAATAAAGGTATTGTGTCCATCTAAAAAAAAATTTTTTTTAAGTGACCAGCATTCCTCAATTGGTCAAGGCATCAAAAACAAGGACATTTGAAAAACTGTCGCAGCAAAAGGGAGTCTAAAGAAATAAAATAATAAAATGTAGGATAGTATTTTAGAAGAAATCTTAAAACAGAAAAAGGATTTTAATAAGAATTAAGGAAATTCAAATTAAATATGGGCTTTAGTTAGTATTAATGTGTCAGTATCAATTCAAATCCTGAAAGTTATTCTTTCAATACAACCAGAGAACGTCTTCCAATTGCTGGAACAAACAGTTTAAAACAATTAGCTAGAAAATCCTATTCTTGGCAGCAGGTAAAATTAATATAGAAATGGGTTTTTTGGAACACTTTCATGTTTTTACTTGCAGAGGGCTGAGAACCATGCTTATAGCTTTTCTTTCACTCCCTTCTTTTCTATTTTTGTTGTTTGTTGGTTGGTTTGGTTTGATTTGGTTTTGTTGCAGTGCTGGGGGTAGAATCCAGGTCCTCACACATGCTGGGCAAGCTCTCAACCACTGAGCCTCATCCCCTGCGTACTTGTAGCTTATGAATGTCATCTGGGGACTACATTTAAGAGGAAATAAAATGCATGTGAAACTGTGTGACCCGTCTCTGTGTTTGGTGTTCTTAGATTTTCATTTCATTAGGATTGAAAGAATGAAAGCTGAGTGGAATCAGGCCACAACACAGGCAGACACCCAAAATAAGGTCTTCAGATAATTTTAAGAAGAAACGTACATGGTACTTATTTATAAATTTTCGAGAAGACTTGAATTAGGAGTGCATGATGTTCTTGAAGACAGCCAGTCTTTTCAATTAATATATTGGGTTTTAGTCCACTTCAATTTATCATATCCTTTTAAAATTTAATAAAATGATTCTAAGAGGGTATATTCAATGATTCAAAGAGTATAAACAAGTAGGAGTAGGAAAAAAAACTTCAAAAAGGAAAGTGATAAAGAGGGCAATAACTCTATTGGGTAATAAATTGTTTTTAAAACAATGTGCAATTAGCACAAGAGTAGAACAATTATAACAAAGGAATGATACACATCCAATAAACAGATTTTATCCACAGGCCTCACTTCTAATTAGAATCTAAATTGTGTTGAAGAACCTTTGAAATCAATGAAGAAAGAAAGGATTCATTCATAAAAGTTTGTAAAAAAAAAAAAAAAAGAAGACTATTTGACTTGGAAAATATTGGGGTGTTGATTGACAATACATTGTATCTGCAGATTTATTCAGAAAGTCTGCACTTCATTAAAATACTAAGCCAACTGGATTTGCCTATAGTCCTAGGTACTTGGGAGGCTGAAGCAGAAGGATGACTAGATCCCAGGAGTTGGAGTTCAGCCTGGGCCATCTAGCAAGACCTTGTCTCTACAAAACAAGTAAATACATTAAAATAAAATAAAAATTTTAAAACCAAGTCTTCTAGTTAATCATACCCTTGTCCCAAGCTATATCCTACTCCCTTAGATGGGTAATTGATTGACTTTGCTGATGATATTTGATAAATCATCATTATTACATTCATATGTGACTCTTACTAAGAAACGTTTTAAAATTCATGTTTGAAATGAATTTTATCAGGTTTTTTTTATATGATCCCAGTTTTCTTTTCATTTAGTATGTCAATTTAAGTTCAGTTTAGATTCCTAGGATTTAAGCATCACCAATTCCTGGAAGAGACTTCCCTTGATCACAATGACATGTGATGTTGGATTTCTGGCTAATGCTTATTCAGGATTTAGGACAAACATTTTGGATTAATGGCTCATATTTTATTAGACATAGAAGAATCTGTGCTCACAGGCAAGCCTCTTTGAATATGTACTCATTCTATTTTTTCAGCTCAGGTTAGTGAAGTCATATATAACCTCGTAGATTCAGTCATAAAGATTTCTGTTTTTAATGAGAGGTAAATAGGGAGCCTACATCCTGGGAACAAATATTTACCCCTCACACTTCAGATAGAGCTCTAATCTCCAGAGTATACAAAGAACTCAAAAAATTAAACAACAAGAAAACAAATAACCCAATCAACAAATGGGCCAAGGATCTGAACAGACACTTCTCAGAGGAGGACATACAATCAATCAACAAATACACGAAAAAATGCTCACCATCTCTAGCAATCAGAGAAATGCAAATTAAAACCACTCTAAGATACCATTTCAGGGCTGGGGATGTGGCTCAAGCGGTAGCGCGCTCGCCTGGCATGCGTGCGGCCCGGGTTCGAGCCTCAGCACCACATACAAAACAAAGATGTTGTATCCGCCGATAACTAAAAAATAAATATTAAAATTCTCTCTCTCTCTCTCTCTCTCTCCCCTCTCTCTTTAAAAAAAAAAAAAAGATACCATTTCACTCCAGTAAGAATGGCAGCCATTATGAAGTCAAACAACAACAAGTGCTGGTGAGGATGTGGGGAAAAGGGTACACTTTTACATTGCTGGTGGGACTGCAAATTGGTTCAGCCAATTTGGAAAGCAGTATGGAGATTCCTTGGAAAGCTGGGAATGGAACTACCATTTGACCCAACTATTCCCCTTCTCGGACTATACCCAAAAGACCTAAAAAGAGCATACAACAGGGACACAGCTACATCAATGTTCATAGCAGCACAATTCACAATAGCTAGACTGTGGAACCAACATAGATGCCCTTCACTAGATGAATGGATAAAAAAAATGTGGCATTTATACACAATGGAATATTACTCAGCATTAAAAAAACAACAAAATCACAGCATTTGCAGGGAAATGAATGGTATTAGAGCAGATTATGCTAAGTGAAGCTAGCCAATCCCTAAAAAACAAATGCAGAATGTCTTCTTTGATATAAGGGGGGCGACTCAGAACAGGGAGGAAGAGCATGAGAAGAAGACTACCATTAAATAGGGACGAGAGGTGCGTGGGAATGGGAGAGAGAAGGGGAATTGCACAGAAGATGGTAGGAGACCCTCATTGTTATGCAAAATTACATATAAGATGGTGTGAGGGGAAAGAAAAAAGAGAAAGAGAGAAACGTGTCACAGTAGATTGGGTAGAAAGGGGGAGGGGAGGGGAGGGGGGATAGAAGGAAGCACAATATGATAGACACTAGTATGGCCCTATGTATAAACGTGGCTGTATAACCAATGTGATCCTGCAATCTGTACACGTGGAAAAA